AGTTTGAGTCCCATCAGACTCAACCATCATCAACTTCGCCCCCTTCTTCTTCCACTCCTGAGGACTCTTCTTCTTCTTTGAGTCATTCCCTGAGGTGGGTTGAGCATTGCCTAGTGTGGCCTCTAAGTCTAAGGCTTTCCTCGACAATGTCTCAAACGAGTGGTACTCGGTGCGTGCCTCACTGGCTAGTAAGTTCCTCATGTTCTCTGGGAGACATCTGACAAACGTAGTCAACAGGAACTGGTCGCTGTAGTTGATACATGGGACAAGGATCAGGCTCTCAACGGTAGTCGTAAGCTCCCTAACTGACCTGAACTTGAGTTGGTCCAGTTTGTTAATGGCATCAATGGCCCTTTGAGCCTCCTGTGGGTTATGCCATCGAGCTTCTACCATCTCCATGAATTGGTCTAAAGTCAAAGACTTAGCCCAATCCGCCATGTGTCTCCCGTAACCGACCTTCACAACTACACCATCTAACCACTTGGCTGCCTTACCCTCAAGGTAAGACGCCGCAGTTACCACTTCGTCCTCAGGCAAGGTCCTTTTGGCCTTTACCCAAACCGGGACTGTCCTCAACCATGTGTTGAGTTCCTCGTCCTTTCTCTCGCCTGAGAAGGCAAGAGGCGGTTTCATTGGGGTCTTGGGATACCATTGACCTTGCGGCTGTCCAGTTGGCTGAACAGGTTGTTGTGGTGATGCAGCAATCACCACTGGACCCGAAGAAGAAGATGCAACAGTCTGTGCTGCTGCTGCAGATGTGCCACTTGGCTGTGTACCAGCTTGAACTGGAAAAGGGCCTGACATCGCCGATAACGGCAACGGCGATTGTGCTGGTGGCCTAAATCCTGGCCTTGTTAGGATGTCCAGGATCTGGTCCAAAGTGTTCTGCATGAAGTCCAACCTGCTGTCCACATGCGCATGCAGCGACATCATGTTGTTCCTCAACACTTCCATGGGCTCATTCATTCCTGAGTCATCTAAGCCCTCCAAGTCAGCCTTGTCAGACTCTAACGTTTCAAGCCTGGCTGTTCTATTCTTTATCTCTTTTTCTCTATCGGTAGCCT